TAGTTCATTACGTCCGGGAGAACGCACACGACAAGCAGGTCGTGTAGTCAGTGTTCCCGCGTCGACTCTTGCAAACGCGACCGGGGCAGGCAGCGCGACACGGTGAGCCTACAACAGTACACTGCGCGCTCGCGGCGAGCTCGTGCTGCTCAGCCAGCACAGTGAGTAACCGTGCACCGGGATCACCGCTCACAAAGCCCCCCCGACAGACAACCAAACTCCTTGCTCACGCTTCACATCTGCCGGAGCTAACGACTCTCTCTCTCTCTCTCTCTCTCTCTCTCTCTCTCTCTCTCTCTCTCTCTCCTCTCTCTCTTTCTCTCTCTCTCTCCCTCTCTCTCCCTCTCGAGCCCGATGCTTACCACCCCGTCATTCTCTCCAGTCAAGTCTTCATGGCAATCACTCGGCTTGCCCCGCCCCCCTCTTCGCACCGCTGCGTTTACCTAGACCGTAACGCGTGCCACTCAGCTCCAGCGCGGTACCAGTAACACCAGTCCCAGGAAGCAGGGCTGCTGCGCGGATCAGAGCAAAGTCTCTTTGACTTTCTTCTAAATCAGTTTACACATCGCCGTTTTTTCCTCTTCCTTTGCCCTTACAGGGCGTGGCGCGCAGACGCGACCATCAGGGCAGGCAGTTAGTAAATTTCAAGTGGAAAAGCTTTGCTCTTATTTTGTTTTGTTTGAAAGTGAAAAAAAAAAAAAGAAGTTACGCACTGGAAAAGCACTACTAAAGTAAGTTGGCGAGTGAACCACATACCCACAAATTTCGTCTACGAGAGGAACGGAAGTAATTCAGTAACGTACGACGTCCGGTTACCAGTACCGCGGCTGAGTGGGCGGCGGCCGTCACACGGCGCGGGCGGAGCGCGCGCAGCGTGGTCAAGCGAGTCGACACGAAAAAACACTCACGTGTGGCGCTAACTTCACGACGCAGGAGAAGCTCGCTCGCTCGCTCTCGCTCTCTCTGTCGTTCTCCCGCGCTCACGCACACGTACGCAGGGGCGTACGTTTATATGCCTCAACTTCTTTTCCTCCGCGGATATACGACGACAGGGGGAAAGGCCATAGCCCGCGCCGGGCCACACTCAACTTATACCCAGTGGACCGTGTGGACAGACGAAGAAAAAGGGTGGAGGGGGAGAAGGGGCAAAATAATAGTCAAAATAATAGACGAATAAAACCGCGAGTAAAAAAAAAGAGTAATTTCTGAGCAGTGTCTGCTCTATCCCCTACCCGTCTCGCTACCGGCCTGCTGCTCCACCTCGGTTGGGTTGGACATGCATTTACAGCTCGCTTCTGGAGGCACCTGGCGACGCAGTGTGGCCCACCCCCTTAAGGTCGTGTCAGCTCCCACGCGGCACTCCTCGGGCCTGAGCATGCCGAGCATCGGGGGCCGCGACACCGGGCTTACCATGAAATTTCACTCCCTCCCCCTCTCCTCTTCCTCGTCCTCGTCCTCCTCCTCCGCAACAAACCCCTACCCGCCGAGCACACCACAATGAGCTCCGACAGGCAGCATCGGTTGCGAGTCCGCAACCCCACGATACCTTCCGCATGCCGGCTGAATAACATCCGCGCCAACAACTCCCCCACCGCTTCCGCAACCGTGACTCCGTTTTATCCCACTTTTAGGCACATTAATTCATTTTACAATACAAAATGTTAGTTCGACTTTAAAAATTACGACACCGCTGATCCCTAAAAAAAAATTCAGTGGGTTAATAGGTACAACATCAAGAGGAAATATTTCTGTATAAAAACGAGTTTGTTTTGGAACACACCTTTTCACTCCGCAGTGCAACAACATATATAAATATACAGCGTGGTCTACCGTGTGTGCTTCGGCGTGCCGCATATAATAAGCAGAAACTCATCAAAAGCTTTTCGCGGGGAACAACACAAACATTGGACTGTGCGCCGGTCGTTTTCCAACAACGAATCGCCGCGCGAGTCGGGTCGGGGTCGTGCGGATATATGAGCGTCGCACTAATGAGGAATCATGGCGACCGCACACGAAAAATCCAAAACTTTTTTATTTTATTCGGGGGGCAATAAAGTATTGCGCCGTCCACCTGCTCGCGCGTGTCCGCCCCACCAATTCCTCGTCGTCGATTCAATCAGTTTCGCGAACGCACGCGCGGACCTGTCTGCCAGCCCCTCGGGGGGGCCGCGGCGGCGCTCGCGGCTCGCGGCTCATCTCCTGTTGTTACGGCAGCGGGACTAGCGGCTCGGACCGACATTGCGCCAACTCTCGATATGACGGATAACTCCGCCCTCTAATTCAATAGCGCAAAACATTTTCAGTCGCGGTTCGCCCAGTTCTATCTGTCCCCGCGCCGATACCGTTTCGAGACCGCCAGAGTCGGTTTGGAGCTGGACCGGCCGCAAAGTCGAACAGAAATCACGATTACATTTCCGTTCTCATAAAAGGACATATGAAGAGGTCACGTAATTATTGCGTTTTAGAAAAATCCGGGAAAATTGTAAAAATCCTACACATAAGCCTCGGCAATATATTAGTGCTCGGGCTTGGGTTCGCGTATAAAGTAAAAGAGAAATAGAGTACGCTTGGTGGAAATTTACTGGGGAGAAAATATCACTCGTCGCAGCAAAGCGAAAGGTCCTGCAGGCAGACCCTCCATGCACAGCTCTGACACGCGACACCGTGGACTATATTACAACCATTACTGTAAACAGCAGTCATCTACCATCCCACGACGGTCTGCTGGGAGTGAGGTTGAGCCGGGAGCGGAGTGGCTGGGCCGGGGCTCTGAGCCGGGGCCGGGGGCGGGGACATTTGGCAGTGTCAGTGTTTTGCTAGTTCATTACGTCCGGGAGAACGCACACGACAAGAGAGAGAGAGAGAGAGAGAGAGAGAGAGAGAGAGAGCGCAAAAGGATGAGGGAGAGTATACGCGACAAGGCATGCGGAACGGGGAGGACGCCATTAAAATACAAAAGTGACTTTGTTTTATTCGGGCATAAAGGTCGCAAGAGTTGCGCCTTGCACGACGGGTCAGGCCGCGACGGCCACGTGCCGAGCGCAGAACGACCGTCACCGCACCCTTAAAATCCTTTTAAGCAGATGATACCTTATTTTTTTGAATGTACCGTAAATTAAATAGAACAATTATTTCAAAGCTTCTGTATGCACCATATTGGTGAAAAAACATTGATAACATTTCCAAGGACTATTTGTACCCAAATCGGATCTGAACTGTCCTATTCTCGGTCGCAGTGAAATTGTTTTTTCTTTAATATAACAGAAATAGATCGTGCTGTACACCACCATAACTTCACTTCAACTATCAAAATTATCTCCATGGCAAAAATTTTCAACTGTTGAAACAACAACACCAACAAACACAAATGCACAAATGAGAATAACAAAATGGAAAAAAAAGGAATTTATTTTGGAAGAGTACTGTACACACGCATCGTGCACGCACTGAGCCGTGGCGTCTTTTAAACAAGCAACGGCACTCGCGGGCCCCTTACGGCGACCCTCGCGTGCGTGCGCCTCGAGTCGTGTAATCTGCGTACTTAGAGTCGTATGTGTGACGAGAGCGAAGAAGAGGAGGGAGAGAGGGGGAGAGAGGGCTCACTGTGAAACATTGTTAAAGGTTTTATGGCGGAAAAATTTTCCATGATGAAAGCGTGACGTTAAATTATAATTTAAAATAGTTAAAGTACAAG